TTCCGATCTACACACACACACACGAGAGAAACACACGCGTTACACACGAGAAACGCGCATTACACACACACACACACACGAGAGAAACGCGTTACACACGAGAAACACGCATTACACACACACACACACACACACGAGAGAAACGCGTTACACACGAGAAACACGCATTACACACACACACACACACACACGAGAGAAACGCGTTACACACGAGAAACACGCATTACACACACACACACACACACACGAGAGAAACGCGTTACACACGAGAAACACGCATTACACACACACACACACACACACGAGAGAAACGCGTTACACACGAGAAACACGCATTACACACACACACACACACACACGAGAGAAACGCGTTACACACGAGAAACACGCATTACACACACACACACACACACACGAGAGAAACGCGTTACACACGAGAAACACGCATTACACACACACACACACACACACGAGAGAAACGCGTTACACACGAGAAACACGCATTACACACACACACACACACACACGAGAGAAACGCGTTACACACGAGAAACACGCATTACACACACACACACACACACACGAGAGAAACGCGTTACACACGAGAAACACGCATTACACACACACACACACACACACGAGAGAAACACGCGTTACACACGAGAAACACACATTACAGACACACACACACACGAGAGAAACACACGCGTTACACATGAGAAACACGCATTACACACGCGTTACACACGAGCAACACGCATTACACACACACACACACACACACACACACACACGAAAGAAACACGTTACACATGAGAAACACACACACAAGAGAAACACACACACACACACACAGGAAACACACGTTACACACACACATACAGGAAACACATTACACACACACACACACACACACACACACAAGAGAAACACATGCGTTACACATGGGAAACACAGGTTACACACACACACACAGGAAACACACTCGGGAAACGTGTTACACAAGACATTCACGCATTACACACAGACAGACACACACCCACGCAAGAAACATGCATTAGACACAGGAAACACACGAGTCACACACACACACAAGAAACACATGCGTTACACATGGGAAACACACAGGAAACACAGGTTACATACACATACACACTCTAGAAACACATGCGTTGCACACAGACACCAAAAGAAATGCTCCACACACACCGGAAACACGCATTACACAGAGACACCCATATGGGAAACACATGCTTTACACATGTACACACACACACACACACACACACACAGGAAACACGTTACACTCGGGAAACGCATTACACATAAGACATTTACGCATTACACACAGACTAAACATGGGAAAACACTGACACACGGGTTACACACACACACACACGGGAAATGTGTTACACACAGATGCACACGTTATGGGAAACACTGTTACACGTGGGACACACATTACACACAAGAAGCATGCGTTACACACAGGATGCTACAACATGTACCCATATGGGAAACACATGCTTTACACATGTACACACACACACACACACACACACAGGAAACACGTTACACTCGGGAAACGCATTACACATAAGACATTTACGCATTACACACAGACTAAACATGGGAAAACACTGACACACGGGTTACACACACACACACACGGGAAATGTGTTACACACAGATGCACACGTTATGGGAAACACTGTTACACGTGGGACACACATTACACACAAGAAGCATGCGTTACACACAGGATGCTACAACATGTGTTACACAGACAAACAGGAAACACGTGTTACACATAGGGCTGAATGATTTTGGAAAACAATCTAATTGCGAATTTTTTTTACCAATATTGCGATTGCGATTTAATATGCAATTATTTTTTTAAAGCTCTTTGTGTTCTGTATTATTCAACAAAGACAAGCTACAAATCATTCTAAACATAAATGTGCTTTTCTGTAGGCCAGGCCTATATGTTACGATGAAATTAGGTGATGCATGAATTGATATGAATGACATTTTTATTTAACAACTACAATCACAGTATATTGACTGATTTGTTGAACTTCCAACCTTGTAAGCATGTAATAATTATGTTTAAATAAGCCTGGTGTAAACATTAATATGAAAGTCAGTAACAAATCACACAAACTAAAGTAGACTGCAGAAATATAAAAACAAATCTGTTGCTTTACCACACTACTTTAGGTAATTCAAAGTCACAGTAATAAACATATGTAAATATGTGCACTGCACTAATCAGTGTCTGTTAACTTTAGACCATGCAGTGGTTCTCAAACTTTTGTGGTTGCGCGCCCCTTTAAACCTACATGGAAAAAAACACACCTGCATCACTTGAAACATATAAGTTTCATACAAATAAGTGTTATTTTTATTTTTGTTTCATGCTGTCCGCTAAGGCATAGGACCCACACACAGGCTTTCCTCCTCACCAACGACATTAAACACCGTGTCTACACAGTAAATGGTTTGCAACGGTCACTTTGTCGCGTCAGTGTAGAGCTGTTAAATGACCAGCACCTGCCTGGGTCTGTGCGACCTCATCTATGGCTTTTCTCTTCGCTTTCACAAACCGATCATCTCCCATTCTAAGTTGCATCCTTTGGCTGTTTACTGTTTTATTTCTTTTCTTTTTCTGCTGATGGCCCACGCTCGACTTGAAGCAGCGCTGCTTAGACCGATGGGTGTGTGTCATCAAAGTACTGCGAGAGCTATAAGAGAGCGCGGACGTCTCCTTATGCTTTCTCTCGCCGTACTTTGATGTCATACACCCATCGATCTTCAAGTCGAACACACCTCTTCACTCTCGCGTCATGTGACCGAGTGTAATCGCAGCCTCTGCGATTGAAAAATCACTTTTTTCATATCGCGATATTATCGCAAATGCAATTAATCGTTCAGCCCTAGTTACACATAGGAAATGCTTGTTACAAATGGACACACAGACAGGAAACATGTTAAACGCACTGACACACAGACGTTATGAAACACACTTTACACATGGAAAACACATATAACACGTTTCCCGTGTAATACATTTCTTGTGTGTAATGTATGGACACAAACGTTACACACACACAGAGAGAGAGACAGGTGTGTTACCGTGGTGAGGAAGAGCAGCTGGTTGCGGAGGCTGCTGAGCTGCTTGTGTAAGTACTGCAGTTCGTTCTCTCTCACACGCAGCAGCACCTGCCACACACACGATCAACACAGAGATGAAGAAACAACACAGCAGGCGTCTGATTTCAAGTGAATATCCCTAAACTGATCAGGAGCAGCCAGGAGGATGATCACCTCACTTCCTGTCCTTCACGAACATGTGATCTTTTACATAATCAACGGATCGTTCCTGAAGAACATGTATACTCCGTGTTCTTTTATTCACACGTAGTGCTTGTTTTGTGTTTTTGACCGCGCTCGGCTAATAGGGCCATTTACTGGCACAGATTTCACATTTGATTCAGAATCACAAGCTCTTGATTCAGTTTGATACTGATCTGTCTGTATGTGTGTGATGTACAGTGCATGTGACAGAAACACATTACAGGGAGTCACTGCACATCACCTGTGTCTCACACCACGACCTCTCAGTGCCGTCAGTCACTCCGTCTGACCCTTGACCTGTGACCAGAGACCGAATGACCTTGACCTCCTCCGACAGACGCGCCTGGAGGTCCTACACACACACACAATACTCAGAGATGCAAACAGGTAAGGGGGAAATTGCTCATGTTCATTTGTACTTACTTTAAGGTATTATATGTCCAAAACAGTAATTTTTCACACACGCAAAAAAAAAAAAAACAGTGCTATGCAGGCTATTTAAGACAATATTGTCTGATTAGACAGCAATGCTGACCTAAAATGCAAAATGTAAAAAAAAAAAAGTTATAATAATAAAACAGCATAGTATGAATAATTTAGATTCTACCGATTCTCGTATTAGGCTGCTGAACTAGAACTACACTGTAATGCACAGATCAGTGTATTAATACACATGCAGTGCTTACATTTGCTTGAGACCAAACCAACAGTGTGCATGTGAACCGTGGGTGTTAATATAAAGTATGTACTGAAATATGTAGTAGAAAACCCATGAAAGGGGTATGTCATTTAAAAATCGACATTGTTTTTGGACTCTGGGGGGCGCCGTTATTTTATGTGCACAGTACATTCTGCCTTGATGGCATCAAATGGATGCACTCGGTGAGCTACCGACGCTTTTTACTGCAACACAACCCAGAAAATAAAATACTCATACAATGCCACATTGTGTGGCTTTTGGTTATAACTTTCAGTTGAAGGGCAACAAGAGACTGCAATACTTCACTGCTTTCCTAGCGATAAGAAGAGGAGAAAACCTCATGGGTTTTCTGCTATATATTTTAGTAGGAGGCATAATTTACACAATAGTAAGCCATACAAGTCTTGATGCCCTTTAAGCTTCTGTGAGCTCAGACTGGAGTTTTTGTTGGTGTTTTGTTTTTTTTAATGCGGTACCTGGTTGTCTCTCTTCAGTTGCTCCACCTGTGTGTCTTTCTGGCTCACGAGTCGCTCCGCATCCAGACTGTGCTGCTGCGCTCGCTTCAGCTCCACACACTTCTGAGAGTATCGCTCCGACAGAGACGCCAGCTCCCTCCGCAGAGACGCCAGCTCCACCCTGCACACACACACACACACACATTATAACACACACATTATAACACACACACACATTATAACACACACACACATTATAACACACACAAACACACACATTATAACACACACACACACATTATAACACACACACACACACATTATAACACACACACACACTATAACACACACACACACACACACACACACACACACACACACACATTATAACACACACACACACACACACACACACATTATAACACACACACACACACACACACACACATTATAACACACACACACACACACACACACACATTATAACACACACACACACACACACACACACATTATAACACACACACACACACACACACACACATTATAACACACACACACTCACATACACATTATAACACACACTCACACACACATTATAAGACACACACACACACACACTCACTCACACACACACACATTATAACACACACACACTCACAGACATTAACACACACACACACATTATAACACACACACACACACACACATTATCACACACACACACACACACACACTAACATAATGTGTTAACACAGAGGACCTCTCGTTTGTTTCAGGGTCATAAAGGCAAAATCCTTTAACATGCTTTCTGTGAACCCAGCAGCACTCTCTTTTGACTTCATCACACACACACACATTATAACACACACACACTCACATACACATACACACACACACACACACTCACAGACATTATAACACACACACACACACACAGACATTATAACACACACACACACACAGAGATGAGCTCCAGACGCCACTCCTGCAGTGCACGTGTGTGTGTGTGTGTGTGTGTGTGTGTGAGAGAGTGAGTGTGTCTGTGCTATAGTGTGTACTCACAGTTGCTGTTTGCCGAGTGTGTGTGAATCCGTCCCATGAGTCTCTCGGAGTTGTGTGGTTTTCTCCAGCTCCTCTCTGTGTGCTTTCTGTAGCGCTTCCATCACTGACAACACAAACACACCGTGTTACACACACATGTACATCACTGCAGCACTACGGCTAACACTGATCACCACTGAACTGAACACACACTGGAGGAGTCCAGCGGAAACACGCTGTATTCATGCAAACCCCATGATTTCTGTAAGACAGAAATATATGACTTATTGTAGGCCTAATGATAGTTACTGAATTATTCATTATAAAACGGAGAGTTCCGGTCCTTGATTCTGATTGGTTGAGCCGCGTTCGAAGCTGTTGTAAATTACTCTACAAACACCTTTATTTACGTCTGTGTGTTGCTCGGCGACCACTACTGTTTCTGAGGAGCTACATTGTTTGGTGGAAGAATACTGTTTTTATTAATATCATTACACTTTATTTGCTCTGTTTTATTTTGTGAAACCTTACTGTGTATATGGAATAACCGTTTTATAAAAGCAATAAGCCCCGTGAAGCCATGGTTTACAGTGAATTTATAACAGCTAAGGGGGTTTTGGCCTTAGCTGTTATAAATTCACTGTAAACCACGGCTTCTTGGGGCTTATTGCTTTATTAAAACATTATTTTTTAAAGGCATATTTACCAGAAAAATTATTTACCAGAATGCATTTCCAGAATGCAAAATGTAAATACACAACAGTTTTTCTAAAAATAAATAAATAAATAAAATAACACGCTAATAGCTATTAATAATACTAATAATTTTTTTATCAAATCAGTTAACCAGAGAAAATTTCCCATTAAATGGAATCCAGAAAATTAATGGAAAACAGAATTTGGCAAAAATAACTGAATTTGAGGGAAAAAATACGTATTTCATAGGGCCTTGTCATTTTTGTTCAACCCTTTGAACAAAAAATTGCAGGTAAATTGTTTTTTTTTTTTTTACATTTAAGCATAAAAACAGAGTCTAGAAAAATTTAAACAGACAGAAAACGGAATCCAGAACATGTGCAGAGAGTGACGCTCCGCCCACTATAGAGCGAGCTCTGCAGTGATTGGTCAGTACCGCGCGCAGTGGCGTCGCTCTCCTCCTTTAGCAGCGCGTCTCGTTCCCGCTCCAGTGCGCTGATCTGCTGCGAGTGCTGCTTCTCCAGCTCCTCCAGTGCCTCCCTGTGCGCGCGCTCCATCTGCTGCAGCACCGCCTCGCAGCCAGACTCCGCCCCCCTCCCCGGCTCCGCCAGCTGCTGCCTCAGAGACGCCACCTGCAGGACACAGAGAGACAGGCGGCGGTAAAGCCTTCTGCAGGAAGTGCAGGTGCACTGGACAAGAAGTGTGAAGCACGCTCATGCACACACACACACAGAGAGAGAGAGCAGCACAAACGACTGTGAATAAACTCCTTTATAAAGCACATACAGTCATTTGTGCTGGTGAGTGTTAACCCTTATAACACATCGCCTGGGAACATAAGCTTATGAAATAGTCATAACTCAATAGCTTTTCAACCATCATCCAAAAACCTTGTATCTGATAAATATTTGTGAATGTGTAAACTTTTCGCATTTCACTATGTTTTCACCATCACTTACTAACAACTTGTTTAATTAAAAAGATTAGAAGCTCTTTGAAATCTTCAAATAATACTTCAACAATATCTAAACCAACGTGATGCAAAAAAACATATTTAATCAACATTTATGATATATATCTGAATATATCATACATTTACACATGGACAAACACGGGAATAAAACATTTTTCCCGAATATCGGCATAATATCATGTCAATAATGTATTTTGATAGCCTTGATGTATTTTCAAAGATTGGTTCCCACCAAAAAGGTGCGTTTCTTAATTTTTCCGAATTTCCTCAGTTCAGAAATGCCCCGGATGCGTTCCATAATTATATAAGGGTCAATGGGTCTCTCTGTGTTCTATTCAGTTCTCATAAAGTCATTCATGAGAGCAGATAGACTTTATTCACGCACTACCTCCCTCTCCAGCGCCTGATTGGCTGATGACCGCGAGCCCACTGGTGGGAGTGACCTCGTCTCTTTGAGCGGCAGCCGCTCAAACTCCGCCCACTTCCTCTCAATCTCCTCCTCTATTCGCCTCTGTTCCGACTGCTGGCCCGCCCCCTTCCGCGAAAGCACCGCCTCCCACTGGTTGTGGGGGTCAGCACGCGGCCGCTCCTCCTGCCATTGGCTGTGCTCTCTCACCTGCCCCTCCCCTGACTCTCTCTGATTGGTGGAGGCAGGGGGAGCTGCTGGGCCGGACGTTCTTCCTCAAGACCTCGATCCAGTTCCTGCGTATGCCGGCCGTCATGGCGGAGAGCGTGAAGACGGCGTCTCTGGTCTGCAGGACACACACACACACACACACACTGAGTATCAGCAGATCAGCGCAGGAATGCAGCGAGTCCAGACGTGATCCTGTACTGACCTGAATCTGAAAGCCGTAGTTCTTCTCCACCTCAAACTCCGAGACCTTCACACACGCCTTCAGGTCGATCTCGCCATCCACCTCGTCCCTCTGAGCACACAGACGCATAACAACCGTATAACAACAGCCGTATCATCATCATCAGAAACCATTCAGAAGATCAGCATACTACAATGATTTCTGAAGATCATGTGACACTGAAGACTGCAGTAATGATGCTGAAAATACAGCTGCGCATCACAGGATCTCACCTGCCCCTCCCCTGACTCTCTCTGATTGGTGGAGGCAGGGGTAGAAGGCGTGGCTAAGGGCGACAGCTCAACATAGTCGAATTTGCGGTGGGCGGGGTTTGCAGTGGTGGAGGTGGCCTCTGATTGGCTGCGGAGCCGGAGGGATGAGGAATGACGGGCGTTTTCTTTATCGCTGCTGCAGTTGGGCAGCCTGAAACACACATGCACAGATACAACACGTCAAGACGACTCACTAGTGTCTCATTAGCTCTGCAACTAACGACTAGTGTCAATTAACCTATTGATGAATCAGATCCAAATCATGCTCAGTGCTCTCCATCAAACTCAAGTCTACATAATCTATGCAACACGTGGTTTAAAACATGAATAGTGCCAATAAGAAAAAACACTGACAGAATCACAACTGAAAATAAAATAACTAAGGTGTTTTTAGTACACTATAATAATTAAATCAATAAACAATATACTGTTAAATATAAAATGTGTATATAACAGAAATGAGAGAAATAAGCATTATTATTTTTATTACTTAAATATTTTAATTTGATTAAAAAATGAAAAATAAATGTTAATAGTATATCAAAATATTACTACTGAATCGAAAAAAGTTATTATTTAAAGATATTTTTAAATTATTAAAAGCAACATTAATAATACACTAATATTTATGGCTGTCCTAATTTCTTTGATTTCTAACATTAAGCTACAGAGCTTTTATTTTGTCTGGAAAACCACAGTGAGCGAGTGTGAGAGAGTGAAAGAGAGTGAGTGTGAGTGTATGTGTGTGTGTGTGAGAGAGAGAGTGAGTGAGTGAGTGAGTGAGTTAACACATATTCACTTAGAAAACAGCTGCTTTACATTCTAATAACATTACAGTATTTTTGAACAGTGGTAAAAGCGTGTTATTAGCTCGTGTCCGCGTGTTATTAGCTCTTATACCATGGTCTGTCTGAATGCTGGATTCTGATTGGCTGGCAGGTATGCAGTAAAACCGTTTAATGCACAGGTAGCTCCAAGTCAGTTTAATCACCGATCTGTATTAATGCGCCGCTGCTTTAACTGATGCACACAAACCATTATTCATTTATTATGTTTCTATATTTTATATTTCTTATTAATTTTCCCTGGCTTATGCATTTCCATTGTTGTTCAATCTCATGCTTGTGGGGTTTCATGAACTGTTTTGTCTGTATGAATAAGAGACAGATAAGTATTGTATCGTGACTTTGCTGGTGATACACAGCCCTAGTTATTAGTTCGTGTGTTATTAGTGCGTGTTAATAGCATGTGTTCATGTGTTCACGTAATATTACCATGTGTTCTTGTGTTATTAGTGTGTGTTTGCATATTATTAGCGCATATTCACGTGTTATTAGCATTTTTGTGAGTGTTCATGTGTGGTTAGCGTTTGTTCGTGTGTGTTAGCGTGTGATTCTCACCTCCTCTGCTGCAGAGTCTCTGTAGTACTTCAGTCCAGCATCCGTCAGCACAAACCAGTGTTTCCTCCACTGCGCACGCACGCACACACACACGCACACACACACACACACACACACACACAGACACGGTCAGTCGTCAAACACGTCTCAGCATCATCTCACACTGAAGCACAGACAGACGAGTCTCACCTCTCCACTCTCGTCCAGTTTAGACATCCATCCCTTCTTGAAGTTCAGCAAGTCAGGCTGCAGACAGAGGGAAGAACGGATGGGTTCATCAGACCAGTGTAATCACACACACACACACACACACACACATCAGTGTCACCATCAGTGTGAGTGTGTGAAAAACAAAACACAAGAGCACAGGAAACATGAGGCAGTGATGGTGAAACTGCTGCTGTCGGATACCACTGAATAACACCACTCAGGTACAAACACAAACACACACACACACACACACACACAGACACAGACACAGACACAGACACTCACTCACTCACTCACTCACTCACTCACTCACTCACTCACTCAAAATACTAACATTTGTTTCCCGGGGATTAATTTTACATGCGCAAAATACAGCAAACAACAGAACATGAGGATTCACATGCATCACATCACACACCTGCAGCGCTTCTGCGAGCGGAGAAAAACATCATAAATCTAGGCTATAGGCCTATAGCTATAACGATAAATGGGCCTATACGAGAAATACATTTTTACTTAAATAATAAATTAAGAAAATGAAAGAAAAACTGTGCAACAAGTAGCCTAGTATGCAGAGTTTTGGTTAATTGTTGTGCTGCGTGAAAGGAAACCAAGACGGCAGAAAGCGGCATCCTATTTTTCTTTAGGCTTATTTTACAAAAGCACAAAGATTTGTTTTTATTGTGAATGTACACAAATAAAGGCAAACCTTTTACAATTCCGATTATCTTTATGACTAAAAGGAGTAGTTTCTTCCACTGTTAAGGAAACAATTCAAGTGATTGCGCCGGCGCCGCATGCGCGCGCACAGTTAAGTATTGTTACCTTGACAATGCTGCCTGTCCATTATCATAATAAAATACAGTCAGTCAAACATATTGAAAAAAAACTATGTAGTAAAAAAAAACTATGTAGTAAAAAATATGTAGTAAAATCTGTGCCGTTAAGTGTTATCAC